AAGAGCATTGATGATAGCAAACTTTTATAGTAGTTGTGATAATATCTGAATGCTTGCTAAATACTTATTACAATAATTGGTGGTGGACGTACGTAATATGTATTATTAACTGCGTCACCTTTAAGTTACCTTTAGTTAGAAATTAATAAGGGATAGCAAATACAGATAAATTTGATATGTATAAATGAACTAATGGACAATGTAAGATTGAAAGAAAAAAAATTTTCAGTGTTGAACCTAATTTCAGAAAAGCGATTCGAATCGATTCTTGACAACGGAAGAAAAGAGAATCCAATCTCAGGACATGAGTTCAAAGAGGCAACGTACGAAGTAAGTATTTTTTGGGGTCGAAACCTTCTTCATGTAAGACCAAGCAATCAGCAAGTACGTATAAACCACGAAACCAGTTATGACGTAGTCATGGGTGTAACGAGAAATTACACAACCATGCAATTAGGAAAGGCGTAATCGAACAAACAGTAATCACRTAACCAAGCAACCAGTAATCACCTGACTACGTAACTAGGAATAACGTAACCAAGCAACCAGTAATCACTTGACTTCGTAACTAGGAATAACGTAACCAAGCAACCAGTAATCACCTATGTAACTAGGAATAACGTAACCAAGCAATCACTAATTACCTGACTACGTAACTAGGAATATCGTAGCCAAGCAACCAGTAATCACCTGACTACGTAACTAGGAAAAATGTAACCAAGCAACCAGTAATTACCTGACTATGTATTTGGGAATAACGTAACCAAGCAACTAGTAATCAATTGTAATTTTAGTCGATCAAGAAAAATATAAACTTATTATTATAATAAATACAAAATTTCTGTTTCTTGTTTAACGAAGGTGTCAAGTGAAGAAGGAACAACTACAACAGAAAGAGAAGAACCACAAAAACCCAACAACGTTGTTGTTAATCATGCGATCGGGAAAAAGCAAAGCGGAAAGTCTTCCTGTACCCAACGAAACGCCTGGGGGAATTTCTCTTATGCGGACCTCATCACACGAGCCATAATGTCCTCTCCTAACAAGAGAATGACCCTACAAGGAATCTACACCTGGATAAGTGATAATATCCCGTATTTTATGGACAAGAAAGATGGTCCAACCACAACTGGATGGAAGGTGAGAATGGTCATTTTATACTCTTCTAAAAATAGCTCGAGCTACATATTCCTTTTTAACTCCACCATGGTTTTTGAGCGAATGATTTCCCATGATACAGATCAAGCTAGGTGATAACGCATCCTCCGTAATCGGCAGTTTATGGGGAAGTTTATGCCCTAATAGTAGACAGAAATAGTAAAACATTACGCCAGCTTAGGCGTAATGTTTTACGATTTCACACCACGTTCCATTCTCTTGAGAATACGATTCTTYGYTTGAGTTGCATCCATAGTAATGTTTCTTCTTGTGTGCAAACTTTAAATAAAGAATTTATACTCTAAATAATGACACGTAGTCTGAAATGGGGAAAAATCGTAATGTAGTAAAAAAGCGTGTTTCTCAATTCAGACGTGTCACTGGTGTCATTCCCTAGAGTATATATACGTTTTGCTCAACTGTTGAGCATGAGAAGACACATGAGTATACAACTTAACCAAATGATCTTATTCTCATGGGAATGGCACGTGGTCTGGAGAGAGAGAGAATATATATATATATATATATATATTGGTTCAATGGTCACTGACACCAGTTTCTTTCATCCTTAGAATTCCGTCCGCCACACACTTTCCATAAGAAAGCGATTTATGCGTTTACCAAACATTGCGTTTGGCAGTCTAAATTATAAAAGTCTTTGGATGGTTGACCCATATGCAGAAGCAAGGAGACGTAACTCATCTAGTTACCCGCTTAACTATCAAGCTGAATCCCCAAGGATGGAAGTGGCCGACTGGAGCCAGCAATTGAGGGTGTGGACCTCTCGGCCTCTTGACAGAGCAACGCAGACCGAGTTTCCCAACACGCCGTGCCCGTACTGTAGGCACCTAGTGAGCTTAAACCCAAACATCGGGGACACGTTCACTCAAGACGTTTCAGGGTATCAAAWTTGATTTCTTAAAGAAATGGGGGAGTGTGTCTCAGAGATTCTTTCAAATCACTATAATTTAAATGGGGGTAAYGTGCCGTAGATAAGAATACATAGAGTTATAGATCTAGAATAAAGACAAGAGCAAAGCCAAAATACTGAAATATTTTATGTAATGAGCGCACCAATATTTGATTGGCCCAGAGATTATTTTAAACTAATTTACAATGGGGACGGTGTTTTCGTGTTTTCGGTGTTTTTGTTTAATTTAAATTACATTGGGCGAATGACTTGGATGTTTTGTATATAGAAAACCAAAGGGTTTTTACTGGAATATAATATATTCTTAGTTTGGATCGAGTTGAATGTGATCACCCCTGAGATTATTTGACATTAATTTACAATGGGTAMGGTGCCTTTGGGAACGGGATTCAAATTACATGGGGCAAGTGACTCGGAAGTCTTRTGTATAAAAGTAAAACCAAAGCATTTCTACTGGCATATATATTCTTAGGTTGGATTTGAACATTTAAAATAGCTCAATAGTATATATATGCTGAAGACACGTATAAAATCTTTATAAATTTCAGTAAACCTCAAAAAATGAAACTAATTTATGTGTATGAACTCAATTTGCACATCATTCTGTTGGGAATTTCAAAAATACAAGAGTGAAAGGGGAGGCGAGAGATTTTGAAAGATGAGTATTTTGCATATCTTTTACCTGGCTCAGTCGAGTGCGTATATAGCATAGTCAATTCATATTAAGCAATCCTTGCCATGGACMTTTTTACACTGTAACCATGTTTATTTTCATGAGAATAAAAACCATTCTTTCACCTGCATAAATTCATTCTCAAGCACTTGAATGCGAGGCTACGTGTGGTGGAATCTATTGTTCGTTATAAAATAATTGTTCTAAATCTCGCGCACTGATTGGTTGGGAGCGCGTGCTTTATGATAGCACACAACACGCTCGCGTACTTTCAGTTTCGTCATTCMTGTAAWTKGTATTTTATAAAAGAAATAAAAAACTTGCTTGCTGTGCTGTGTGGAGTTATAAAGCACTTAGGGATTGGCAGATCACTCGAGAAATGYCGAGAAGCACTCCGCTACGCGTCTCTCGTGCTCCGCCAGCCCCCACGTGATTTATATCTGCACACAGCACGCGCGCGCGTTTTCTATTTCTTCAAACCAACATGGCTGCCGCGTGAAAAAGGCACATTGGAACAGAAATCAGAGCAATACATAGCCCTCCCATCGTTTTTTTTTTTGCAATCTATGTGCCGAGCTGTTTCTTACAATGTAAGTYACATTGAAGACATTAACGGGAGGTGCCCTTTTCTGGGTAAGAGGCGATAAAGAAGTAAAATTCTTTCTGAAAGTGGTCAGTACCAAGCGACAAAGAAAAGGAAACATTGCACGACGATAGTGCATTATCAATACTTCAAAAAGGTTAAGAAACCCAAACATTACAGTAGTTTCGTTCATTATTTCGTTGTTTATTTACGAATGCTTCGAGGGATATCGACGAGACGTACATTGCTATTGCTTCGTTAAGGATAAAGAGATAAAAATGTCAAAAAAAAACGAAGACGTTTGTCTTATGTTTTAGCTTTATAAACGAAATCAGTCAACGAGAAAGTCGCATGTCAGGACCGTAGCAACCAGTACGGTTGGCCCGGTTTTAACCACACCACCTTTTACCTTCAGAATCATTTTTCCCCCTCGTAAAAAAATATTTATTAAACAAGTAAATAAAATACCGGACCACATTTCCTAAAAACCGGAGGACTGTCCAAGTGGTAGCCTTGCGTGTATGCTCAAAAGAATGAAGATAGAAAGATAAACATTTAGGACTGATCAACTTTGAATAGCTAAGAGGTGATTGGTTGGACAAATGTTACTTTTTGTCAGACATTGTCAGTTGAATGGCCATTAGTTTGGACCGCTATCAGTACATTTATATATTATGTTAAGGCGGATTAGCAAACCAGCAGGTAGTTTGACAAGCAAATCCATAACAAGTTACGACATGCATACTGTGTGACTACCAAAGTAAACAATTAGAAAATATATGGTTAAATTAAAAACCAAACAAAAAAAACAAAACAAAACAAAACAACAACAAAAATATAAAAACAAAAAACAAAAAAAAACAAACAACACGAACATTCATTTGACTGGTAGACCATAAGCAATTATCAATTATCAATACGCATTATTAAATAGTATAAGTAACTAATGAGGAAAATCAAAATTGAAATCGTCCAATCAGAAACAGGATCGCCATTATTTGCATTCACCTTGATTATATAACACTGACTGTATCTCTTACAATTATGCTTTTTTGCAGGGTTTATAATCTTTTAATAAAATGGACTTTAGGTGATCTCACCATCTTATCTTGCACTTCAAGGAAAAACGCCACCATAACCATCATCAAATAAAATCTTACTCGATGTCTTGTGCCGGTAAAGTGTAACCTCCTCCCATTATGTGAAAGAACCAAACATTCGCTGTGTCGGCTCGGATTCTCCACCGTTCACTTAGTTGTAATTTTATCCCTAATCGGGTCGAGATCTCTTCTTCTTTGGCGGTTTTTCGGTCTAAGTCTTCTAAAGTTCTAAGTTTTGATGTGAGATCTGTCATTTCAATTGGAGCTCGACCAAGATACTGAAGAAACAGAATGTAACGCTCTACTAACCACGCTCTTAGGCTCAGGTACCTGAAATGGACAATAACATGRTAGCAAAAGGGGCTCTTGCACCATCACGTAATGGCAAAAAAAAGCTCAGTTTCCCAGGAGAAAAGACTCTATTGTTGTGCCTCTCCTGTCATGACTGCCATCACGTGATGGTGCAAAGCTTCTATGCTGAATAACATTTTAGTGCGACATTAAAGTTTGAAATTTAAGCTTCGTCTTAACACTACAMCAGCTTTCACGCTAGCCTAAACACCTATTTAAAAAAAAGGGTTGTTACAGTAAATGGGACGCGACAAGCGATGTGAGATATGACATTGAAGTTCCAAGAATAGCGGGAATGGCTGCTGGTTCTTACTATGACTCTCTTCAAAGCATTAAGAGATCCAGTTATGATTACTTGCAGACAAAATCATTTCAGCGCCTCGAATGTTGGTGCTACACAATCGTCACATGTATGCCCATTACTCCTTTCGATTTTGGAAAGTCCATTCACCATCCTTTGGTTCCGACAGCGTTTTTTTTTTTTTTTTTTTTGTTCGTTTGAAAGATGTGTATATATAATTGTACTTTACTTGTGTAGTTTGTGTGTTATAGTTTGTGGTTTTCGAGGAAACATTTTCCAAAAATCAGAGTAAACTTTGAGACAGAGTGGGATGGTATATTTTTGTTAGGTATTTTTGATAGATAGAATAAATGTTAGCTTACCGTATTCTAACATCGAATGCAATAGTTTCCCAATACGTTTTTATTTTGGCTGTGAAAGACCTGTCAGCTACTTTCTCATTGCATCCACATATGGCACTGTAAAAAGAGATTATAAATAAAATCAATAACGGTTTTAATTTAATTTTATTTCGGACTTTAAAAAGACAAACCCATTTTATTCAATCCATAACATTTCAAATAACCCAGGGTAATGCATTGGACTTCTTCGATGATACGGCGGCCATCTTGAATCGCAAGGCATTATGGGCCACACATGGGCAACACAAAASAAATATGCTGAAATGAAGACTCTCCAATCTTTGAGGAATCTCCTTAGTTACGGAAATGTCCACTTAAAAAAAAATCATCTCTTGTCAAATTGTCTTGTTATGAACCTGTAAGTGGACAGAAGATGTTTAGATAAACGAAACCGGTCTTCACTAATTGAGTCGTTTTAAGTGCGTGAAAGATGTTTTTAGAAAAGAATTTAACCTTATCAATACTATCATGACGAATTTAACTAAATCTTTTGAAGTCTCAGCAAAGAAGATATCTCAATCTTGTTATGAACCATAAATGTCAATCGATACCATTACTGTAACAAAGGTTTGTGTATTTGCTCTCTGGATGACCCATRATGCCTTGCGTTTCAAGATGGCCGCCGTATCGTCGAAGTAGTCCATTCAGGGCACGACTACCTCTCAGATAGAATAGGAATATAATTTTGCTGGGTTTTGACATTATAGACCTAACTTGGGGTTAAACRCGGAGACGCCAAGTGACAATAGGTGACACTGGACCCGGTAAACTAAATTTTACGAAAACAAAGACTGCATCACAAATGGCAAACGTGTGCGCAACCATGTTACTCAAAATCCCTTAAGATATGAAYAACAATGCCGCCATCTTGGTTGATTTAACAAGAGAAGCTAATGAGGAATGCTTTTTAATCGTCAACCACGATGACGGAAATGACGTAACATGCTCCTGCTCTATACTTTCTCAGGTGTAAACATAATACTTAAAAACAACACTGAAAAATACGACTGACCATTTGGCCATGATCACAAAGCGGTCGACCGGTGCACCTAGATCGTCATTTACTGCTCGTACTGTGTTGAGATTCCTGTATTTAAAAAGATAGACTTATTTCAATAAAGTTAGTTACCAAAACCGACAGAGCTGAGACTGCTGATGATCATGGGAAATGCTTCATAACGAGCAAACACTTTGATACAAACTGTAGCTTGAGGATCCTCACAGGAGGTGAAAGTACTCTAACACACTGATAATGGATCTCAAGTMAATCAATAGTAGTCAAGGGATTGAAACATGTAAAATACACATAACCCATAACGATCTCAGCTTTGTAGCTTTTCAGTAGACTAGTTTAATAGTAATGATTAGATATTAAGCATTACCTGAACACTAGTAACATTGTCCTTGGTAGTTGTTTCAGTATTTTGATTACTCTTTCAAAGTGTCCCTGCGCCAGTTTAGTCATAATCTTGAAGTCTTCTTCAGTGACCTTTGTTGTAAAGAGTGCACCTGCACTACCCCAAGCGAACGGTCGTTGGAGTAAGATCTGCGTGAAGTTTTCATAATCTGTACATATTATTAAAAAAACTGCTATAAATCCTGCATTTTGATTTGTTAGAGGAAATTGCTTTATGAAAGAACACAGCACACGTGTGCACTTTCTATTGTGTAATTCCTAAGCGTCATTCTTCTTTGAACGCTTTTCTTGTGTTCTGCCAACATTGTGTGCTTTATAACTACACACAGCACGCGTGGGCATTTTCTGCTCCTTCAATAACCAGGTGATCTCGTTTTGACAGCCCATCAAAAAAACAGCCAATCATCGCGTAGGAAGAATTCTGATCAGGCGGTCTATCGGGGAGAAAAACAACAAAAAAACAAAAACATCCTAATATTTAAAAAACTCACCATCTACGCCAAGCTCTTGACTATAATACTTCATTTTATCCTGTTGATTCAGAAGAATTGATCTCCATAGCTTGCAGAGGGAGATGCGATCCCTGTGGAAAATTTGATCGAGAGGTCATGGGCAGCATAATATTAACTACTTCTATTGAATTTGCTAAATGAATTCTACGAATTCTATGATCAGCCCTTGCTAGTGCACTACMATTACGCCGCCCTTGCTATGGTGTTGAGTAGCCATCAGGAGAACACCAAGTCTTAAGGCCTTCTGATAAGGTCATTTGAAAAAAGGATA